CTCACAAAAACTAGTGCTATTAGATTCGACATAAATAGAACTCTAAAAGTTTCAACTTTTCATTTATGTATGTGATCACGGATTCTGAATATTAGATTCGACGTAAAACTTGAAACGTAAAAACTTTTCATTTATATAAGTGATCATTTTCATTTATATAAGTGATCACGACTTCTGAATATAAGATTCGACGTAAAACTTGAAACGTAATAACGTATCGACTTTTCGTTTACATAAGTGATCACGGATTCTGAATATAGATTCGAAGTAAAACTTGAAACTCATCAACTTTTCCTTTAAGTGATCACGGATTCTGAATATTAGATTCGACGTAAAACTTGAAACTCATCAACTTTTCCTTTAAGTGATCACGGATTTTGAATCATTAATCACGGAGGAAGCAAAAAACGCATCACCGTTACACACATCGAGGGCAGCGCGAGCACTCGAGGGCAGAGTGACGCTTACAGCGGCCGTGTCGTGCATGCTAGAAACTGAGACCGTGTGCGTGATGATGATAAATAAAACGAGTCCGAATGCGTGCTAATGATAAATAAAACGAGCTCGTATTTATGCGTGCCAATGAAAAATAAAACGAGCCCGTATGTATGCTAATGAAAAATAAAACGAGCCCGTACGTATATATGCGTCCCAATGAAAAATAAAACGAGCCCGTATGCGTGATAATGAAAAATAAAACGAGCCCGTACGTATATATACGTTCCAATGACAAATAAAACGAGCCCGTGTACGTGCTAATGAAAAACAAAAGGGGCCCGTGTACGTACTGGAATTTTAAAAATACGGGTACGGCCCAGGCAAAAAGGAAGGAACGCGTATGTGCTTAATTGTGAAAAAAAATGACGGGCCCGTGTTCATGCTAGTATGAAAACAAAAACAGCCCCAGTGAAAAAAAGTGACCGCGTAGTGTTAATGAAAAATTAACGGCTCGTGCGCGTATCACTAAAAAAAAAAAACAGTCGAGGTGCTTGCTAGTGAGAAACTGGTTGACAGGTGATTAAGAAAAGATAGTAGGTAGGTAGTGCTGCTTTTGCTTACATAATATAGACGAAACAAGAGACTTAGGGTATTTTAAATGAAGAAATTGTCAAAACCAAACTTCTAAATGAGTGTGATATGAAAGTTTTAGTGCCCATGATTACGAAGGTCGGCAGCGTGGCACTACAAGGTAATATCAACGGCTACGTGCCGCGACAAACTCTTGGGGAGATGGAGGAGCATGAAGCTTGCAGTGAGCGATTAACTGAGGATTACAGCAATATTACGGTGTGAACAGATCTAAGGCAAATATCAACCGCATATTTCAGATGGCAGCACTTTCAAACAGACAGTAATACATATATTGATGTTTCCACAATGATCTACTTAAATTTTCTTATGGAACAGCTGACAACTTCTCTGTTTTCGGTCTTATAGTGAAACATTATGACTCAGTTAGCGCAAATCAACTGCTCATTTCAGATAACGGCGCTGCCACACCGAAAGAAATCCCATCAACATTTCCATTAACATTTCATACAAAATTTTCATGTGGACCAGTCGACAACTTCTTTGGTCTCGGGGCAAGTGAAAGGTTAAGACTCGAGCGCAACGTCACGAGCATCCTAGCTGGGCCGAGCTCTGCCGACTGCAGCGGCACGGAGGAAGGAAGTGGTTACATGAGCGCCTGATAGCGGCTCTGAGTTTCTTCTTATCGTGACGCAAGAGAGCTAATAAGAAGTCCTAACGAAACTAAACGAACCGACACTTTCACTTTACTCTTCACAGTTGACGATTACGGTCATAAATACAAAACGACGCCGCAAGCGAAATGGCTCAGGAGATTAGGAAAGATACTGCAGAACAGAACGGTCGTTGTAATCTGCAGAATTGGGTGCTTCTGACACCCAATTAAATAGTATGCATATTATATGGGGTGTTTGAACATCAGATATACCTACTAATAACATTGTTTGCTTTATTCAGCACTAAACATATGTATAAAGATTCCTCAGTTTTAGTTCGTGCATGTCATTTAATGTAAAATCTTACCAAATTTTACACAGTATTTTCAATTTCAATTAATAGCAACACGCATTTTCATTTCAAGATTGTATACAAACTGGAGTGATTTCTGAGGTCCTGATTATACCAGCCGGATTTGCGTAGGCTTTATGCGATGTAGGACTAACACACCAATAGGAAGAACCAAAAATGCGGAGAGTTCAGAGTAGGAAACGGCATCTTGCATCACGCGCCTTCTTGGGTCAAGCCGCCGCGCCGGACGCGTTAGGGATCGGAAATAAGCTATCGGAAACACACACTTGCGTTCCATATCAGAAATGAATGCAAGTGATTGCACACATGAAACACCTTGGGCTCGATAGTATGGAGTGTTGGTTTGCTAACAACGGTTGTGTAACATAATAAAATGACTAATTTCAGCTACAATCGGAATGCACTGAGAACCGTAGACTACAGTTTTTCTCAATTATGACAAGCAATATGTTACATGAAAACTTATTTGTTATTTAACAAAGTTTTTATAATATTGCTGCTACCTATCCATAAATGGAGAATAAATCTAGTCACCAAAAAATAACGCCTCATTGACCAACCCCATCATTATGAAATGATTAGTCTACAGACACTAGTGAAATATAAATACTCATATGATAATCATCATCCTATTTTATTCTCATCCAGTGTGATCACATGTACCATACAAGGATGACATAAAAGTAGATCCTGGTATCCTGAACAATGAGAACCATATCTTGTTCTCCTTGATGAGACAAAAAGTTGTATCAAGAAATAATTCCAGACCTTGCCTTGAGTCACAATTCTTACAGAAGTATTTTTTTTATCTACTTAATTATGTACTTATGACAAGACACCAGCTACAAGAATTATGTACCTATCATCCTAAATAATAATATTTTTTACAGATTGCTAAAAAAGAGTCTATTTCTAGAAGATTAGCACAGAAAATAGAGCCCACTTGGTGCCATATCTTGTGTCTCTATCAGAATGTGCGTGCCCTAGCACATCCTGTATATACATCACTGAGAAGATAAACAATCAGCAAACAATGCACAAGGATGCACTGATATGCTAACTGCTAACTCAGAACAAAGTGATTGTTTTTAGATAACAATGTGGTTGGTGATTAAGTAAGCTTATGCTCACATTATGAACGCCCATGATCATGCCAGAAAGGGACACTATTATTTTGGATTTTTACAAGAAATTAAATGCACTCAATAGCTAAGTCTCTTCTCAAGTGAATTCATTAACTTAATTCATTGATGATTGAGATTGAGTCATGAAGGATTTTATCCTAGATCCCATCCATCTCAAGTAAATATAAGTAGTATAGTTTAATATGATAGAAGATTCACACAATTTGAACTAAATATCTATGCTTCTCTGAAATATCTATGCTATGTCTGATCTAGGCTAGACATGTTGCATGCATTTTCTAGGACATAGCAATTAGAGATTAAAAACTTATACGGTAATGTAAAAATTCAAAGGACAACTTTATAAAAAGCATTTTTAATGAAAGGTGAACCTTGAAATGTAACAATTATGTGAGATTTAGACATATTTAATTGACATACAACACTTTAAAATGTTAATCATCTGTAGGAAATAATTTTTAATCAAAGCATTCAAAAGCCAAAATGAATTACTAGACAAAATTCATCTCCCGACGCCCGACGGGCCGACTGTGCCAACATCACCCATGCCTAAAGTGATTTAATGCATACCCATACTCTTTCAAGTTTCAACTAATTTATAAAATGATTAGCTATTGTTTAAAATAGCATAACAATGAGATAATATCCAAAACCACCAACATAAAAATTCACTCTACAGAATATTTTGAAAATATATTTACACAAGCATAATATTTTTGATGGTATCAGCGTGATAGGCGGTAGCAGTCAAAATGTTCAAGCTTGTGTAAGCAGCGGCCTGCGGCAGCAACCAAAATATTCCACAGTCCACACTGTGTCAGCACTCAGCAGTCAAAATTTGCAAGAACTTGAACTGAAGTTCTGAACAATTCATGACTGTGTTGGCTTTCTTTCATAGCAAGATCTTGACATCCTCAATGAAAATTTGAAATATTGGGCCCTATGAGTTTTGAGTTAATGAGTACAGAATCTAAATATAGTAACTAGGTACACTAACATTGTAGTGTCTGCTGCTAGTGATGCATTAGTATTAGGCAGCTAGGCTAGGCCTACTGTATCAGTGTACGAAGGTAATCCATGCTCAGGATGATGTATGTTTTTGGTGAATTTTCCCGCGCATTTTCACTTTTTTTAAGCTATTGCTGTGCACAGTTGGCGCAATGTAATGAAAATTGATTATCTTCGCGCACGTGTTTGAGCAATCCTGGCCATCTTTAGTTTAGAAGACATTTTCTCCAAAGTCATATGGCAACACTGAACACCGTCTGTTTACATTTCGTATGTATAACAGCCGCAGTTTACGATTACCATACGTTCCGTATCCGACAAGGCGGACAACCGGAAGAGTCAGAAGTAACCCGGACATGTCTTACAAAGTTACATTTTATTATTGTCAGTTCGACTCGCGTAGTCAATATACTCGCGTATATTGTCAACTAAAATAGTAGAACTATTTTAGCTTTCTAAAGTACGGCACATGGCGCATTTTTTTACCAACGTAGTACAGCGCACTGCGCAGGTCGTTAAAATGACAAAATAAATTCCCGCGCACCTGGCACATCTTCCTGACCATGGAAGGTAATATTGCAAATTAAGTTCCAAATTAAAACTTCAATCAAATTGAGTGAACGCTTTATCACGGAAAGACTAATGAACTCGTGCCATCTCTAATGTGAATTCACACACAATATCTGGAGATGGAAAGCAAAAACTAAAATTTGTTCTGGTTTTTAAGCCACACTACACGTTTTCCAATTTCAATGGCATGGTAGCCTAGGAAAAACTGAAGCCACGCACCTTTTTCTGTTGTTTTTCCCATGCAGGGTCGAGGAGTCCCTCCCGCTCCCATTCATCTTCTTGCTCCATGTAGACTGTTTCACCGTCAGTATATTCCACGGTAGTTGTCGTGGTCGTATGTTGCATATTTTATTCGAATTAAGTAACACTAGATGCGGCGGGAAGACGCGATCACAACACACACAAAGCGTAAGATCCACCCTGCATAGGCGACGAGCGGCACAGCACTGGGCTAGCAGCCAACTCGCAACCCAAAACATTCCCGGGATGAGGCAGAATTACCTACGGAAATAGAACTGTTACCTTGAGAAAAATTAACTCCGAATTCTAGCTCAGAAGTAAAGTTGAATTCAAATTATTGACTTCATTCATAAAATATATGATATTAAAATGCAGTATATAACCGATAGCTCATCCCTAGGGAATTTTTTTATGGTTGACCACCTCGATCTAAGCTATGGAAGTTGGTCGATTGCTCCTATTATTTTCAGTATTTAAATTACATTTATAATGATCAATGCCTCCATTTATTGAGAAAAATTGATCGACATTTAATTTGTGGGTTTATTTTGATATATAAGCATTGAGAGCTTCCATTGAGCACGACATCATCGCTTTGTGCACGGCCCGGAAATTTTCCTTGCTGCATGAGGCTTACTATACATTAATATCATCAATATGAGACTGTCTATGTAAATTTCTTATGTGTACCCACGATTTTTAATCATTTCTTGAGTCATGCTGTTAAATTGGGTTAGGCTTGAAATAGGTTGTGACAGCAAGCCAGCATAGCAGAGGTCGGTAGCTGCCAAAGACTTGCCGCCTCCGCAGCGGCGTGATGAGGTGTCGGCGAAGATGGTGGTAAGGGTGCACACAGAAGCCGATTCATAAACAGCAGCTAGATAATAAAGAATTATTGCACTATGATGCATCTACGTGTCTATTTCTATTCATGTTTTTAAATAAATTTATCAAATTCGTTTGCTGTTCGTTTGAAACTCGCCCCTACAGACTGTGTGCATAATACCTCCAAACAAATTTTTGCGGTCGCGAGTCCTGCTGGTGAAGTTGAAGAAAACATAAAATTGTGAAATAATTTATAAAGTTATACTCTTTCACTAAGAAAAATTTCCCGATACAACAATTCTTTTGAAACCCTTAAAATTCACATGATTGACTCGATTTAAATCAGAGAATCCTAATCCACACCAAAATTTGACTAGAACAGGAATAAGTGCCCCCTCAAGACAAGTCGTTTGCTTCAGTTAGTACTAGTCTCAGTCCCTCGCCTAAATCTTATCTCGACGTAAGAGGAGCTTGATGGGTACAAGTGGAACCTCATGGCTGTTACCTTCTCTCGAAGCTGATAACATGTGACAGATGTAAATCGGCAAGATTAAAGTGATTATAAATAATTCCTGGCAAGGCCCAAATGCTTCACCTCAAATTGAAAGGATAATGACAAGTTTTCCGCGTCTACTATATTGTAGGATGAACTGTGACATCACACGAGTTTGTAGAAGAGTTAGTTTTGCATATTCGAAACTTTAGATTTTAGTGTCTAACAAGACGAATCATTTTACATTATTTTTGTCAAACACCGGTTAATTAAAATTGCAAATAGAATTGACTATTTTTAATACAAATTTATTGCGACAGGGCAACATAAGTCAAAGCAATTGGGGACGCTCATAACCAAAACTATAAAGCTTTTGTTCCTCACAAAACAATCAATCGCCGGTCACTCATCAAATCACATAATCTACCTCGGTTCATTTAAGCGACTATTGAATGCTAGCTGTCAAAGAAGATGGAGATGAGGGAAATATAACATCACAGACTACCCTAGATATCTCGAGTCAATGCAAGTATCAAGAGTGTGTAGAAATTCCCAAGTTAACTGCACACATACCTCGTTAAAATCAACAGGAATAGTCTTAAATCATTTATGATCGATTCGTTATAAACAATTATCGTATGAAATCGTTTCTAATCGATTCGTTATAAACAGTAATCGTATGAAATCGTTTCTAATCGATTCGTTATAAACAGTAATCGTATGAAATCTTTTACAATCGATTCGTTATAAACAATAATCGTATGAAATGTTATAAACACTAATCGTATGAAATCGTTTATAATCGATTAGTTATAAACACTAATCGTATGAAATCGTTTATAATCGATTAGTTATAAACAGTAATAGCCTGAAATTGCAAGTTATCTCATATCGGTGCCGCAACCACTGCGCTGCAGTAGCAGTGTGTTTCAAATTCTTGAATAATCATAATTGATCCGTCCAATTAATCTCAGCTGTCAACACACAAATCATTATTTGTAATCATTTGTGTTTGCAAACACTAGTGTTAAAAAGTGAACACGCGAGTGTTTCAACATGTGCGAGTCATTCCTGTTATTTCCATCATTTGAATTGCAAATAAAAACGTTATTAATATAAATATTGATATACTTATTATTTGATAATGACAAAGTAGTCATTGAATTAACGACTTCAGGCATACTTGAATAATATAATTTATATGCATGCGTACCTGATTAATGCGTATGCTAGGAATACGCATTTTCTCCCTGGCGTAAGTTTCAGTGGGAGCGACTAGTATTAAGATGACTAGATGTGAGCAAAATTAATCCATTCAGCAAATAAAAGCTTATTAATAAAACGAAATCACGTATTTATATATTTATTTATTTACTTAAAACGTAAATGTATCATTTATTTTTATCATGTACGATGCGGAAAGTAACTGCAGAAGTTGATAATACGGTAGGTGATAGATATTTGTTTTCGCGATCGCGATAAAGCTAAAAAAACAAGGGTAAATATGCGCTTTAGTGAGAGGGTTCGATAAAACTAAAGCCCCCGGCGCGATCAATGCGATAAGATTAGAGATATGGACGAGCCAAATCTGCCTTTATATTCGCTACGCTAAGAGGACAGAGCGAGTGCTGCTATAATAAAAACCTGCATTGTCTAATGAAACGGGACTTGCAAATAAATTGTGGAGAAATATCAGAATGAATTGCGTGCATGAAAAATTGATACCGAATCAAGTAATCAACTTGACGAATAATAAGCAATTTTTATCAAAGAAATATTTATTATTATCAAATTATGTCATGAACATCGCACACTAATACAACTTAAATTTTGCAAATGAAGCGACACGGTTCTTTCTGTCACTTTTGCTATCACCAGGAGAAAAAAATATCGTATTGGAAACTCCACATGGTTTGGGGCAACGCGGAACACGCGGATGCGATGCATTTAAATAATTCATCTCGTAAAAATGTCACATAAATTATCCTTAAACCATTACTTCTAAATAAATGCATCATAATCAATCCTCAATTATGGAAAGATCGGGTTCCAAAGGCCGGATCCCTTGTGAATCAAGTCACGAAAAATTCAAGAATCGGCAACAGGTCATGGGCCTATTTCTTCAGTGCCGACACTTCTATTATATTCTATAACACTATAACGGCTAGCACCATATCCAACGCGGATGGTCCTTAGGACGGCAGGCCTTGGGACAGCGCGTCCTGAAGACCACGTTGCGCTCGACCGCCTTGTACGCCCCCCAGCCGCAGTACTGCCACTCCTGCCGCTGCGTCGGGAACGGTATGCTGCCGGGGTGATCTTCACAGTGATACGAGTCGTGCTCCACCAGGTCACCCTGGCACGGTATCATGAAAACAGAGTTAAGGTTATAGCTGGAATCTTCACAGTTATACGAGTCGTGCTCCACCAGGTCACCCTGGCACGGTATCATGAAAACAGAGTTAAGGTTATAGCTGGAATCTTCACAGTGATACGAGTCGTGCTCCACCAGGTCACCCTGGCACGGTATCATGAAAACAGAGTTAAGGTTATAGCTGGAATCTTCACAGTGATACGAGTCGTGCTCCACCAGGTCACCCTGGCACGNCAGCAGTACCTGCATGAGGGACCAGCAGTACCTGCATGAGGGGCCAGCAGTACCTGCATGAGGGGCCAGCAGCAGTACCTGCATGAGGGACCAGCAGTACCTGCATGAGGGGCCAGCAGTACCTGCATGAGGGGCCAGCAGTACCTGCATGAGGGGCCAGAGGTGCTGCTGCAGGAGGATCTGGTCGTATTTCTCCGTCAGGTTCACAGGAGCAGCAAAGATGGCGTCGCGCGCGGCCGCCATCTTGGCAGGGTATTTGTTGTGGGCACCCCACAGCCCTGACGGTCGCCAGTTATTTATTAATATTTATTTACTTGTACCATAAACTTGTATAATAATGTATAATATAATATACATTATAATATTAAATAATATAAAATAATGTATATTATTATAATATACATTACTATGATGTATAATAATATTTATCATTTCTACCGTAAATTTGGTAATTTTTAATATAATTTTCATTATTGAAGCAAATAAATTGTTTATCTTTCCTGTCAATAAACCGTTAATTCTTCGTTGATCTTGTTAAATAAGTTAACATTTTTCATCATCAAGGGTATCAACACGATGCGATATACGGAAAAAATAACTGACGAGATTAGTGACAATTGTATTGTATTATCATAATGATTATAGAACTATAAAGAAATGTAAGAGCACTTTGTGCCCAAGAGCAACAAATTCTACATTTAAGAAAATGAGTCTGATACAAATATAATCAATTTAACTACACAATACTTTGTCTTGTGCATAAGTCGTGGAATAAATCACCGGAAGCGATGAATAGAAGGAAGATGTATATTTGTAATAATAGTATTGTTATTGTATTGTTAATAAATAATAGTATTGTTATTTATGGAACAAATTATGCAGAATAGTGGCTGAATTGAGCTAGCAAGATAAAGCTATAACAATATATTATACTAAAACTATGTTTATCTATATAATTTTATTTTACTACGGTGTTATTTATATAATAACAATACTATTATTATAAAATACTATAATTATTCTGTTATTATATATACCAAAAGAATACAATTATTATACAAAATACTAAAACGATTTTATGTTAATACACATACCATAACAATACTATTATTACAAATATATCATAACAATGTGAATGATGAAGGTATGAAGGCACCTACAATTCTACCTTATTATATATACAATAACAATACTATTATTACAAATATACAATAATAATATGAATGATAAAGGTAATAAAGGCACCTGCAAGGACCGCAGCCTTGTGGTGGGGATGGTCCCGCATGACGTGGTAGCCGCGACCAGACCTCCTCCACTGCCTCACTGCCTCCACCTCCCGGTCCAGGATCTTGCTGTCACCCAATATAATATTAGTGAATAAATATTATATATGAAGATGTGACACTTATCATATTGCATGTAAAATCAGAAACTATAATTTGGTTGTAAATAACCTTGTGGATTTATGTATCTCACCTCATGTTGCATGTAAAATTGGAAACCTCGCAGTCAAGGATCTTGCTGTGACCCAATATAATAGTTATAAATAAATATTATATATGAAGATGTGACACTTATCATATTGCATGTAAAATCAGATAATAAAATTTACTTTTAGCTATAATTTTGAATTTACGTATCTCACCCGTCATGTCCACGTATCTCACCTGTCATGTCCACATATCTCACCTGTCATGTCCACGTATCTCACCTTTCATGTCCACGTATCTCACCTGTCATGTCCACGTATCTCACCTGTCATGTCCACGTATCTCACCAGTCATGTCCACGTATCTCACCTGTCATGTCCACGTATCTCACCTGTCATGTCCACGTATCTCACCCGTCATGTCCACGTATCTCACCTGTCATGTTTACGTATCTCACCTGTCATGTCCACGCATCTCACCTGCCATGTCCACGTATCTCACCTGTCATGTCCATGTATCTCACCTGTCCAGGTCTCGTGACATGAACCAGCTGACTGTGGGGTCACCGAGTACAGAGAAGCGCCAGGTTCTGCCTACAGGCATCCGAGCCTCTAGGTCACCTGTAGGCACAACAAACTCTTGCATACGTTGCTAGGGGAAATATGGGAAGAAGTTTTGCAAATATCGTTAAGGTTTAAAACAGCATTTGGCTTTATTCAACTAAATTATTACCAATTATTCAACCAAATTATTAATTATAAACTAACTTATTCAACTAAATTAATACCTAAAGAGAAAAACTTCAAACATTAACAACAGTGCTGTTACTAACACATAACGCGCGAATTTATAAATATACTTATATAAGAAACGCACTAGGTGCATAAGTAGGATGCTAGATGAAATGAATAGGAGACGTGAAAATAAGGCGCTGTGTGCATAATTAGGATATCGGTAGGTACTATCAAATTCTTTACAAGAATCACGATTCTTCATGAAGAATCATGAAGATTTCACGCAGTCATTTCCTAAACCATATTATTCAGGGAGAGCTAAGAGTATATTAGGAAATATAAAATTTCATGGCCTGTGCGATAAAGTGACGGCAACTCATAGAATGACGGCAGGTCCTTGACATGACATAAGTCGACATGAGTCTCACCAAGCGTTGGCAGGTCCTTGACATGACATAAGTCGACATGGGTCTCACCAAGCGTTGTCTCACCAAGCGTTGGCAGGTCCTTGACATGACATAAGTCGACATGAGTCTCACCAAGCGTTGGCAGATCCTTGACATGACATAAGTCGACATGAGTCATGTCACAGAAGAGTTTGCAAATATAACGCGTTGAGAGGACGTCATCAGTGGACACGTTGTGATACACGCGCATCAGCCAGCCTGTAAAACAGTTATGCTTAAAATAAATAATAATGTGTTAATTATTGAGATTATTACCAATGATAAATATGTGGCATAATTTAATATTGATACAATTGAACAATCTTAAAAAAACAAAATTTAATTTTTGAGAGCATATGTGATTTTTTTCTTAAAATGGAAAAATGGATATGACGGCTTTGGTTATTTTCTATCACGCTAAAACCCCAAGATTTCTACGAAGCCAATTGTATAAAATATAATAAGTGAATGCATAAGAATAATAAAATATATCATTTTTACTGAAGTTCAAAGGCGAAGTCTGCGTTATCGTCAGGACTTAAATCCCGAGCTTTTAATTTGATAATCAAGTAAAGGAAATAACTCAAGCCCATGTATGTATTTGAAATTTTTCGATGGAAAATATGACCCAAGCCTAAGCCTATAAATACCTATATTTGTAGGCCTCCAAATTATTTAATGAGCTCGTTTCCCGTAGTTGTGATCAGGACTGACCAGGATACACGAGGGCGATCCTACGGGCGCGAGGATACATCTGCTTCAGGAACCGCTTAGTGCCTTCAGAATCTGCATCAGAATTATATTAATTAATGTGGCAGTAAAATAATTATGATTTTTATTGCAAATTATCGCTTAATAGCGCTCGTTATTATCTTTAGAGCGATACAAACGACGGACAAATTATGGAATATGCGGAAGATGTAATAAATTGTTATTAATACATCTTTTATTATTTATTTTAAACCAATAAAATTATTTACTCGAACAAACATTTCTATTCAAAATTAAGTTATAATTTAAAAATTGGCGGCAGTTTTACAATATTGTCGGCCTCTCTGCCGACGTAATAAGATCACCTTCTAGCAGAATTAACGTAGGAACATCCCCTTCTTGAGCTACTTCCTTGGGCACATAGTACGAGTAGGACACGACGTTCTAGTACAAACCAACTCAATAATATCACCTTTTATCACTAACTAACGTAAGAACATCACCTTTTATCACTAATTAACGTAAGAACATCACCTTCTCGTGCTACTCCCGTGGGCACGTAGTACGAGTATGACAAGACCTTCTGCCCCACGCCGCGCTGGCTGGAGTAGTGGGAGCAGGTGGACGTGAAGGTCTCCGGGTAGCGGCCGAGGAACCAGGGCGGCTGAGAGCGTCGGTCTCGCAACGCTAAGTCCCGAGTCTTGTTAAGAGCTGCTAGGTCGTAACCGAACCTGAGACCGGTGATGTATCAGGTTATGATGTATTTAGTAATGATGGATCAAGTTATGATGCATTTAGTAACAATACACTCAGTTATGATGTATAATCATTTAATAACAATTCAATAAGTTATGATATATAATCAGTTGTAACTTCTATAACTAATACGTATAATAACATAACCGCATCATACCTGATGCAGGGGCAGCCAGGGTGCGAGTAGCCGCGGGTTGCGATGTCGAGGTCGTCAGGCGCCGAGCGGAGAACTTCGTTGTCTTCGTTGTCGACAAACGCCGAGCTCAGCTTAACAACCGTGCGAAAAAATGGCGCTTTAAGTTATTAGAAGAATTTCTAGTTATTAGAAGTTATTAGAAGAATTTTTAGAAGTAATTAAGTTATTAGGAAGAATTATTAGGGTTTCTTTTCTACCCATATAAAGGCTAATTAAAGGCTTAATTTATCCTAACCGACAAACGCTGAGCTCAACTTACCAAGCGTGCGAAAAATGGCGCTTTAGGGAAGACTAGATAAATAATTATCAGGGTTTATTTTCTACCTAATTAGAGGCTAATTTATTCCAAACTGAAAAACGCGGAGCCCAGCTTAACAAGGGAGCAAAAAAATGGCGCTTTAGGGGAGACTTGATGAAGAATTATCAGGGTTTCTTTTCTACCCATATAAAGGCTAATATATTCCAAACGAACAAACGCGGAGCCCAGCTTACCAAACATGTAAGAAAATTTAATGAACAATTATCGGTATTTCTTTCCCAGCCCGATCATTGCTAATATATTAAAAAAACAGACAATCGAAGTAAGAGTAATCAAGTGTCGAGTAATGTTTAGATATTAAATAAATATAAATAAAAATTACAAGATACAACATAATAGGAATGTAATAACTCACTTGGTTTTGACAGGAGAAGTAGATGAGATGACAACAGATGTAGAACAATATGGAGGTAATGCACGCCAGGATGAGGTGTCGCATGGTTAAGTGAGCCAGAAACATCATGGTTCAGGTTTCAATATAGGAGAAGACTAACATATAATTACAACTTGAGCTGCTATATCTAATGCATGAATGACAGAAAAGTAGATCAACTGATCATGTGTCTCATCGCTTTTTATTAAAAAAATGTCGCATAACTCTTTTTAGCGTATTTTCTCATTTATGAAAAAAACGATATTGTGCTCGTCATGTCCGGCCGTCCGTCTGTGACTTCACGTTGCCGAGTATCCATGATACTCGGCAACGAGAAAATGCGCTCTCTGTCACTCACTGCAGTGAGTAATGATACATTTTTTCGGCAATAGCCTTGATACCGACTTCGATTTTACGTTTAATACCAAGTAAGACTGACATATAATTCAAGACTGCCCATCGTAAATCAAGTAAGACTGCCCATCGAATGGGCAGGGTGGCCCAGTGGTTAAAGTTCAGAGTACCAAGATTGACGCACTAGAGAGGCGCGGGTTCGATCCCAGCTCTGTACGTGCGCCAGTTTCTGGTCAGAATCGGCAAGGAGGCCGGGCGGTTAAGCACAGCAGAATTGTAGCAGTGCGTTGCGAGTTCGAGACCTCAAAATGCTGCGATTGTTCTGCGATGTTAAGAATCGGCGACAGGCCTACGGCCTAATAAACGCTGAAACCGCTATTATTTATTATTATAGTTTCATTCAAGTAGCTCCTAGTATCGATCCCTTTACCCTATTTAGTATGATACTTCAAACAAGTAAAGTTTGTAGCTGAAAACTTCTGCTTCACTGAACAGAGCCTTACGGTCACGGTTACAACTTGGGAACCTCAGACTGATGAGTCACTAAAACAACTGCCAGCTTCGGTCACAATCTAATCTAGATCACAATAATCCTAAGTCTATCCTTTTCGTGATCAACTCACTGAAGGGTTTATCACAAAAAACTTAGGTTGAAGTTCCAACTTTGATCATGATCGAAGCTAGATCACAATAATCCTAAGTCTATCCTTTTCGTAATCAACTCACTGAAGGGTTTATCACAAAAAACTTAGGATAAGTGCAAACTTTGCTCATGATCGAAATTCGATCACAATAATCCTAAGTCTATCCTTTTCGTAATCAATAAGCTGAAGGGTTTATCACGAAAAACTTAGGTTGAAGTTCCAACTTCGGTCACAATCGAAGCTAGATCACAATAATCTTAAGTCTATCTTTTTTGTGATCAACTCGCTGAAGGGTTTTGACACAAAAAAAAACTTGGGTTAAAGTTCTAACATCGATCATGATCCAGGCTAGATCGCGAGATTCCAAGTCTATGCTTTTCGTGATCAACAAGCTAATGTAAGTGATCAAGTTTATCACAAAAAACTTAGGTTGAAGTTCCAACTTTGATCATGATCGAAACTAGATCACGAGAGTCCAAGTCTATGCTTTTCGTGATCAACAAGCTTATTCAAGTGATCAAGTTTATCACAAAAAACTTGGGTTAAAGTTCTAACATCGATCATGATCCAAGCTAGATCGCGAGATTCCAAGTCTATGCTTTTCGTGATCAACAAGNTCAAACAGGTGCTTCATACCCTCAAAACAGGTGCTTCATACCCTCAAAACAGGTGTTTCATACCCTCAAAACAGGTGCTTCATACCCTTAAAACAGGTATTAGCATATCTGTCTTTACAGACGAAAAAAGTTTATTGCATCAAATTACGACGAGTATTGCAACAAGTTTGTTAAAAATCTACGGTAAATATCACAGAATTGCGTGAAAAGGAACTTTTTCCGTCAACCCAGAGCGAAACCCTTCTACACACACGCAATTTGAGTCAGTAATTACTCTTGTGTTCAGATCCAGGGGAAATATGCGTTGTTATTTTCATTATTATTTTGTATTTACAATGGTTGGTATTATCACAACATTTAAGGAGAAGATGACAACCGCAGCACAAGGCATGTAATAACATGCCACAACATAAGTAAGTAATGGCACAACATGCCGTTACATAAGGAATATGCCGTAACATAAGGCATGTAAATAGATGCCACTACATAAGGCACGTAAAAACATGCCGTGAGACATGTAAAAACATGTCGTAATGCATAAACATGCCATTATATAAGGGATATGCCGCAACATAAGGCATGTCTAGTCTCCCACACTGATAATTATACAGAGGTCTCTATACTTTATTGCTAAGAATCAAAGAAAAATCATTGCCTATGTCCCCAACAAGTTCCATACTATCTTGAAATTTGAACTACGCGAAATTACAAATTTCTTCAACGGCTCTAAATTGGTTTCACATATTTATTTGAATAAGACACGCGAGACACGTAAAGGATGTGCATGTGTCTCACGTCTTTGAACTGCATTGATAGTATGTTATTCTGCTGCCGGATACATGGAAGTGAGATATCACAGCGATTGGTCAAGAAATTGACATGCAGATACTCGGAATACAACCTAGAATTATACGTCAAGTGACCAGTTCCAGGTTTGTTTATTCGGACGCAACAATTAAGCAGAAAATAATAATTTTGAAAGAATATAAAATAAATAAATTCAAAACATTAATAAAAATTTGGATTACCCAAGATAAAGGAAGATACACTTTCTAGATGTAAATGTTACAAATTTGTATCAAATAGCTCCTAATAAACATGAGCTCGAAGAATTTAAAATTTATTAAAACTCTTTACTTAAAATATTATGTGTTAGCATTGAATGGAAAATTATTCATTTTGATTCTATATATCACGGACACAAAAATTTGGAGCCATAAATAGCAGTCTTCATAATGTTCAGAGATACAAGAAACGAATGAAATTGAGGAAGCAACCGAGTGAATAGAAGTAACTTCATATCACTTGGCGACAGATTACAAAACAATTGAGGTCCACTTAATGTTCCTATTAAAATCAGTTAGGAATTTTGTAAATCCAGCAGCCAATCAACGACCGCTATTCAACCTAAAGTTACTAATCACACCGCTGAAATTCGCCGCAATTTCATTGAAGAAATTGAGAAATTGGCCGCTGCAGGCGCTTAAGCTCGTCTCGACAGTACGGCCCCAGAGTATCCAGGGGCAGTAAGGCGACATTTTCTCACCAGATAATACCAGCTAATTGGTGCATAATTAAAATTATGAAGATTTTAACACGTGTGCGTCGGTTACCATTACGTACAGTTGGAGATAAATGTAATGCACTCGGAAAAAATGCCCCAAACCACGTTCTGTCTTGAATTTTTCCCTGCAAAATTGGTTTGTAGTCCAGATAAGCAGAATAGACATACAAATGTATATCGCATCAGGGAGGTTAAGTCGCAACATTTCTTTTGATATTACATACAATGTCTATACGTTGTGAAGTGAAAAGACTCCTTGTTCTCTCCCACAGATTCCTCGCTACAAATATTTGTTAACTAAAGACATCAGAGATGTTGTTCTTCATTCATCATAGACCAAGTCGCCATATTGGTTCCTACGAGCGACTGGGGTAGAACCGCTGCTGACGGAGGTTGAACCGCTGCTGATGGGGGGTCTGGGAAGCTCTTGACGAAGCTCTGCATGAATAAATGATAATTTTCAATATAATTATACTCGTTAGTAATAAGTAAAACCGTCATAGCTTCAACAGGTCAATTAATATAATTATTGTAGTTTTCGAGTTTGTTAATTTCATTATATAATGAAACCAATAATTAGGAGAACTCATGGCAACAAGATAGCAGATAAGTCAATAGCCTTAGGAATTAACCTAATTGTGCAGCAGTTTGAAATAGACGTGTTGCGAAATTATAACTACTACTGCATTATTAAATACTAAATAAATAGAACCTAACACTAGATTGATTGATCATATTTAGCACTTTCTGTTAGGAGATTACATACATATTGACGACTTCGCACGTTTGCAATCTCGAACGGTATCAATTTTATTTAGATTTTTAACACAATTCATAGATTAATTTCGTTTCAACAAAAAATAACAAGCAATTAGAGTGCCTTCACTCTGGCTGACTTAAAATAAGAGAAGAATTTAGTATAGCGGCGAGAAGCAAGCAACAGCATCGTGCATCAGCTGGCCCAAATGAGGGCGGATGAGCGATAATAATTAGAGGCGGCGATCCATCAGAGACTGGGACTGCTACGACAGAAACAAATACCAAGGATATATTTATTACACGAAACTTAAATACGTATAACACACCAGACACGCTGCCCCTGTTCCTCTGCATGACTTTCGCGACGTATTCCTCTCTGTTGAGACGCCGCCGCTCGTCGTATGTGCTCACAGGCGTCTGTGTAGAGCTCAGAGATGGCTCCGTGTACTCAGACAAGCCTGTGTCAGGAGCCAGCGATTTAATGTAAGCTTTTATACCTATAAAGAAATTTGCAAACATACTTAGGTGATAGGGGTATAATGCAGACATTTATATGAATATATTTATAAATCTGTTTGTGGATTCAGGAATATGATGCATATATTTTTATAAAAAGGTGTAAATCATTTTGAGACGCCCTGAAACTAAGCATAGGTACTTTTGTTATAATAAAGTTAATGAATTGAAGTGAATAATGAATGAAAATTTGCAAACAAGCAAAATTCAAATTTTATGAACTAATGTAAATAAAATAAAAAGCACATAAGACAAAAAGGTTAGCAACAAATTAAACATTAACACTCAACAAAACTACTTTAACTAGGTATAGTATAGTTGAAAAATAATGACCTGCAACACAAATCCAAGGAAGAAGCTTGATTTGCATTACTTGATCTTATCAACTGTTAAAAAATGAAAATAAAAATTTTTGAAGCAAAAAAAATTGTTGAAGAATTTTTGGAATTGTAAATAGAGAAAAAGTTTCTAAAATGAATACCTTTTTGAAAAATCTATGGTCACCGCATTATGTGGTCTCAAAAATAAATCAAATCAGGATCTTGAATCTTAGTGCTCACACATGTATTTTTCTCGGTAACTGACACAAGTTGAGTTGAGGCATTCACACTCACTCTCAGGCTTTACAAAATTTACGGTTGAAAAAAAAAACGGTTGAAAACAAGTTACAAAAATACAAAATACGGTTGAAAACAAGTTTGAGTTGAGGCATTCACACTCACTCTCAGTAATACGGTTGAAAACAAGTTTGAGTTGAGGCATTCACACTCACTCTCAGTGATACGGTTGAAAACAAGTTTGAGTTGAGGCATTCACACTCACTCTCAGTGATACGGTTGTAGTCGTCCAAGGCTTCGTTGCGGTCGCGCTCATCAGGCTTGTGGTCATCAAATATGGGCTGGGAAGGGATGCTTGTGAAGACCTCATGGGTGCCACCTCCAGGACCAAACTCACTATCACTGCTGCATGCAATTCAGGCTCAGTTAAATATTCCATAACAATATTAAAATATTTAAGCTCAGTTAAATATTCCATAACAATATTAAAGTATTTAGACTCAGTTAAATATTCCATAACAATATTAAAATATTTAGGCTCAGTTAAATATTCCATAACAATATTAAAATATTTAGGCTCAGTTGAATATTCCATAACAATATTAAA